GGATGGACATTTACTTAACATATACCGTTCATATGCACAAGGAAGCAGTAGTGAACTACGCCTTGGCCAGACCTATATATAAAACTTGTACATACGTATATGTTACTCACTATTTTATAGACACCTATTTTATGTTGGATATATTATGCATACAAGAAATCACTGAATGCTCTCACTGACACATTGGCCATACCTGCAGCTAAAATTTGTACATGTGTATATTTTACTCACTATTTTACAGTAACATATTTTATGTTGGATATTTTATGTATACGGTTTTCGATAGGGTCTTCAAAAGCATTGTCTACTACCCTAAATATACTGAACTATGTGGCTCTTCAGATCCTGTGTTAACCATGTGGGCCTGCTCGCCTTTTGTACTTTTTTCAGCGGACAGTTTCGATGCATTATGTCATTTATAAGCTCCCTGATAATGTTCCGGTCGGCATCCGGACTAACGGTGAGACTGTCATACCAGTTTATTGTTGCTAGTTCACTTATCATTGCCGTGTAGTTTCCGCACCAGTAGTCTAACCGAACCTCCGTATTTTTCGGTTGACTAGTATTTGAGCCGTATTCCCACATGGTCACTCTTGCCAAGCGGCGCGATTGACCTAATTTCGTCTGTATCAATCGGGTTGTACTCTGCGACCGCGGAATTTATTCTGTATGCTCTGCTGACTTATAACAGTTCGCGTAGTTGAGATCACTGCGGCCTCAGATAACAAACCAAGTTTAAACTTGTGATCGGTGATGCAGTAATTGCTCTTCGTGTCAATTAAGCTGGTCACCCACCGAGAGGTTACTTCAGTTCGTTCCACCACTGCTGCGTTGATGCCGGTGGTGGTGGTCGGGTGTCCCCCAAAAGGGCCGCGTGATGGATACGCTGGATCAACACGGGACCAGATCAGGGTACGGCAGGCGTTATTCGAGTTGTGCGTCGATATTGAATGCCGACGATGGAGGTGTGTGTGTCCTGGTACGCATAAGGGCGGCTTCGTCCGCGTCAGCCACTTGCGTCCGATACCGCCTCCGGTTTTCTGGACTCGGTCTCGACATCGGGCCAAGGTGGTTGAGGGAAGAGAGAGAGTACAATAGATGCAACGAAAGTATACTAATACTTAAAACTAGTTCACTTGCAAGTCACCGTCCCTGAACTACCCCGAGGTGGAGCATACGGTGGAAATAATCGGAATCGACGGTCGAACTGTCGTAGTGGTGGCCGGATGGGAAGTTGCTAAATGTGGCCAAGTTGACCTGGTGTGGATGCCAGACCCAAATGTCTTTGGTATACGAAATGAAACGCCAACTGCACAATCATAACTGCGACCCACTTAATGTCAAACCTTGCCGTGTTTCTGTAACACAAACTTCCAAGTGTTAACGGCAATAAACAGGACAGGTGGAATTAATCCCAGAATAAATATGTGGACCGCACGTTCGGAGATGACTTATCCCTACCTTACTCCCTCCCCCCAACTTGTAGCCAAATCTGTTCATTTTTTAAAAAAACAGGCAGAACTGCTTATGACCTTTTGTACTTGGCTCTTTCGAGATGTTTAGACAAAGGACTTTCGTTAATGTACGCTCACGGGTCGCTGGCGGAACTCCTTGCGTTCTGCCTTGAGGATCACATATCGAGCCCCGCCAGCAGCCACACAGCAGCTAAAAGTGTAGGCAGAAGAGCATTATTGACAAAGACAAAGGAGACTGGAATGGTTATTTCTGGCTTATGGGCTCGAACCCACAACCTGTTGGTCAGAAGTTCAGTGCTCTAACCATAGAACAATAGGTCTGTTGTCTTGGTGATTTAGATCGGAAATATTGTCACTCGTTAATAAATTTTTACCGATGGCTAACAGAAATCACCCGTCCCGTTCTGCTTTGGAACGCACTCTTGAGTCCCACCAGCAACCTCACAGCGGCTAGAGCGCCTATACACCAATTTGAATATCCCCCTATCTAAACAAGCAAGACCACAAGCCCATGGCCCAACATTTAACTTCTGATCAACAGGTCGCGGGTTTGAGCCTCGGTTAATGCACCACCTGGGTTTTTCTTTGAAGTTTCAAGTTGGGCATGATAACTTCCTAAAAGGCGTCTTCCTATCTGTTTGATAAGGTTAGTATATTTTGGCCCTGTTTATACATGTGTGTCTCTGTATTGTAATCTATTACACTGTTATTCTCCTTACGCGGCTAATTTTGTGGGCGTCAGACGTGACTCCTTCAATAGCCTCCCCTCCTGGATGGATGACCTGCGCCAGTACGCCAACGAAAACGCCGTCATCATGTTGATTGGCAACAAGTGCGACTTGGACGCGGAGCGGGCCGTCAGCACAGAGGAGGGTCAGGCCTTTGCCCGGGCGAACGGCCTCCTCTTCATGGAAACCTCCGCCCGAATGGCCATCAACATTGAGAAAGCCTTTATGCAGACTGCAGCAGAAATTTATTTTCGAATTCAGCAGGGAATTTCGGACATTAACCACAAGGTGACTTTCCCCTTTTCACCTTTGCATTGAAAAAAGACTCATTTTTTCTTCCAAGGTTAGTTTGCAGTTTGTCTGATGGATGAATTTGACGTTAAAGAGTTTTGGCTATTTGCTAAATCTTCCTAAGGCCACCACTTCTGTCAGTGGTGGGACAGAGTTGACACCTGCTATTTGAAGGCAGAAAAAGATGATCCCTAAGTTCCGGAGATGTAAAAATAGTTATAAATGTAGTTATTTTCTTAAATTGAAAACCTAAGGTCGCCAATTTCTTTATATAAAAAGAACTTTTCTTTAGTCAACATTTTTGTACATATTACCATTAATGAATGAATGTTTATTTAATATCGTCCTTTAAATTCTAGCTTAATTTCCAGCGTTTCCAGTGTCATCATGTGTTCATCCATTAATTGAGCTTGTGTTGGACGTTTACATCAACACCTTTGAAATAAGATATACATAAAAAAGCATTTACCAAAAAATGAGTTTTTGGGTATTAGTTCTCATAAAGATGCTGCGAGTGCTGCGTGCAACATACCTAAGTTTGTAAATGTTTGATCATTACTCGCATGCCGGCGTGAACGCACTTACGAAAACTTAGAAATAATAATGAGCAACACTAGGCATATTAAGTACTTCAAAGTGTTTGTTAAGAAAATAAAATTTTCCCGATAATGCCCAAGTTCCGTATTCGTAAAAAATTGCTATAAATTAGAACAATAAATTTAAATCTTTTCGTAACTTGAAAACGAAGTGTAACCTTTTTCTTTATATAAAACGAACTTTTCTTTAGCCAACATTTTTATACATATTACCATTAATGAGTAAATATTTATTTAATATCGTCTTTTAAATTCGGGCTTAGTTTTCAGCATTTTCAGTGTCGTCATGTGTTCATCCATCAATTCAGCTTCTGTTCGACGTTTACATCTAAACCCTTAAAATGAGATGTAAAAAAACTTTTACCAAAAATGAGTTTTTGTATATTAGTTCTCATGAAGATGGCCATGTGGATCATATTTAAAAAATGCCTCGAAACAGCAATCCACATTGTCGAGCAGAAAGAACGTCCACAAGATAACTGTGATATTATTATTCCTAAAATTAATTTAAAAAACTTTCTATAATAAGTTACCTTTTTAAAAAGTGTTTTACTTAGATATTCAGCTAACGAATTTCTGTGTATATTACCTTTATCCAAGGTAATTTCAAAATGAAATTGGAGAACTGACAAATTTTTCAATTTACCTGAAGATAGACGATTAAATTTGACTGGAAATGAAAAAAACTTACTTTTCTCTTGATAAATCGAAAGCATCCTGTAACCAGGTTAACTCGCTTAGGGTCACGCATGCATGTGACGCCCTGCCTTTGAGCGTGCGCCATTAACACAAGATACATGGCGTCTTACCAAATTGCAAACTCATCCTAGTTAAAGATTTGGGCTCTACCTGGCCCACCCTATCCAGTCTCAAATGTAGTTGGTTATTATCGGGGAAAAACCGCATCAGAAGCAGCAATTCCAATCCCTATTATTATTACTGTTAGTTTTACAGTCAAAGGCCATTAGTACCTCTGAACGAGCGTTGTTTAAAGAATGAACTTAAATTGAGAAGTACACGCTGTCGCTGAGACAATAACTTTATTAGCCTGAAGTTTCGGATCCCCTCTCGCACCAATCCTCAGAGACAGTAGTATAAGCGAGTCATTCGTACATAGGGAGTTGTGGTGTTTATAGGACTCGGTTGCTATGCTCATACATACCTATGACAATTAACGGCTTCCCCTATCGAGAATGGTTGCGGCTTGTGCGTTAATTTCTCCATGGCCAGCATGCAGGTTATGACCTGCTGACATTTCATCAATCTTGCTGGATTCTGGTGTGATGATTGCTCGACCATCTTGTTCACCGGCACTGGCGTTGGATGACCTGTGTGCGCTCCCGAAGTGGTGAATAGATTTGACTAAACTGAGTTAGGGTTAGGGAGGTCATTGCACTTGTTTATAGGTTGGGAGGTCCGTGAGGCTTAATTCAAGCAAGTCGTGGCTCACGCGATTGTCACCTCTCGCAATAATTTCGGCCTCATCAAATTTGAAGGTGTGACTGGTGAAGAAGTTGGCCGAGCAGTCATCACGCACGATTGATAAAATTTCAGCGGGTCATGATCCGCCCGTCGGTTATTGAGCAATTAGCGCACAAGCGGGCAATTACTCTCGATAAGGAGGCAGACGCAAATTGTTATAGGTATGCAGTAGCATAGCAAATAAATCCTATAAATACTGCAACTTTCTGTGTACGAATTATTCGCCTCTGTTACTGTCTCTGATGGATCCGAAAGGGAAGCCAGAACGACGGACAAATAAAGTTACTATCCCAGCGATTGTGTCTAATTTTCATCAATTATTTCCTGAGACTCAAATTTTCGTTCGTATCGGCAGTGGTTTTTAATTTATATTTCTACATTTTTTCAGAGTTCTGCTTCTAACTGGACTTAATAAAATGTCCTCACGAATTCGTCATATCTTGTAGCTCTCTATCAATTGACTACAGCACGTCTTACCGGTTAAAGGGCCTCTTATTAACGTTTGCGTTATCGTTGCAGTCCTCAAACATTATTTTCCTTTCTCCCTGACAGGATAGTGGCATAAGGTTGGGACCACAGGTTCTCCCGAGCGTTCCTCAAAGTCCTTCCTCAGCCCTGTTTCAATCAAACCACACAAATCGAAATCACAGATGTTGCTGACTCAACGTGTACGTTTATGTTTAGCAGCTGTTTTTCGTCCTATGGTGTTCTACGCCGCTTGATCCACCTTTCCACTGGAGCAAAAATAATCCTCCTGGTGGTATTTTTTCACCTAATTTTATTACCGGTCTTTCAATCTCCGTTCCGTCCTCGCGACTTCACTCTGCCTACACTACCCATGCTACTCTGTGGCCTGTGCCTGCTTTCCAATTGACTGTTTAGGTGAATTTCGAAAATAAAATATGTAACCGGGCTTTGTGTAACCGGTCCTATCGCATTCACTCTGTTCTTTTACAGAATTTCCATCGAATTTTTAACGGTCCATGGCTTGTTTGAGCTTGCTGGGTCTGCAATGACACGAGACTGTGATAGAGGCCTAAATGAATATCCTCATGATGGATTTTGCTTTTTCCTTATGCGGGTGGGGTGTTATTGTGTGCATTTCTTGTTTCTTAGGTACTCTTTTGGTTAAGGCAAAAGCAGCTTGTGTAGTCCCCTTCATATGCCCCTAGTCCCAGCATTTTGTCCTACGTAAACGGTGGTTATAGGGTTTTGGCGGGGGGGGGGAGAATAGG